ATCCACACTAGGCAAGGCCTACCTAAGAACTGCTGCTCAGAGTCACACTTGACGGTCACTGGATGTGCCCAAGGGCAGGCCTTGCCTGTGGGAAGAAACAGCTTGGCAACATCCCTGTCCCAAACTGGTGTCCTGATGAATAAAGAGTGATTAATTAAATACAAGGAATAAGCCATTATGAAGATAGAACAGTCTCAAAGAGATGTATCATAACTAGTCATTGGCAGTGATAAAAGAGACTCCCCCAGGTGCCCAGGGTTGGGAAACTAGAGCTCACAAACAACTGATGGGCTAAAGGGGAAATTGCAGTGGCAACTAAACATTTGGAAGTGAATGGCAGTGAAAATGTTACATACTGGAGACTTCTGAGATCTCTTGAATGTAGTCATCAGGGGCAAATTTGTAGCCTTAAATTAATTTGTTCGAAAGAAAGATTGAAAATACCTGAATTAAGAGCTCAGTGCAGGAGGTGACAAAAAGAATGTAAAGGGAAGACCCTTTCTGTCTAGCTCACGGTTTTGGGGGAGCAGTGAACAGTCCTCAACAGTGGCCCAGAGCATTGAGAAGGGGAGAAAGAGAGGACCTAGAAGGTTGGCAGGGGCCCAGACTATTTGGGGTCACCAAGGCCTGAAGCATGTCATCAGTGAAGAATCCTTTCTTTTTTGTTGTTGTTTTATTTTTTTTTTTTTTTTTTGAGACAGAGTCTCGCTTTGTTTGTCCAGGCTATTGAGTGAGTGCCGTGGCGTCAGCCTCGCTCACAGCAACCTCAAACTCCCGGCTCGAGCGATCCTTCTGCCTCAGCCTCCCAAGTAGCTGGGACTACGGCATGCGCTACATGCCGGCTAATTTTTTTTATATACATATAGTTGCAATTAATTTTTTCTATTATAGTAGGATGGGTCTCGCTCTTGCTCAGGCTGGTTTTTGAACTCCTGACCTTGAGCAATCCTCCCGCCTCGGCCTCCCAGAGAGCTAGGATTACAGGCGTGAGCCACTGCGCCGGCCTTTTGTTGTTGTTTTTAAACTTTTTTTATCTTTTATTTGTTTTTCAATTCTTCTTGTTTTTTTTTTTTTTATCTTGGGTTAGAGAATCCTTTCTATAGTCTAGTCCATGTTGGCTCTGGCCCACAGCAGAGCCCAGTGCTAGTGTTCTGTGCCATCCTCTGACTACCCAGGGCTGCCTGCATAGACCCTACCTAGGCAGACGATCAGGAGTCTTCATGGAAGGCCACTCTTTCCAGGAATACGGAGGTATGTGGAGCAGGAGGCCTGCAGTCCTCTTGGTAAATAGGCGCTGTTGAAGAAGACTGTGGGCCCCACACAGCTTGTTGCTGGCTCCATCCCTGAGTTTCCTGAGGCTTAGTGTCTGGGGAAAGCACTAGGGATTCTTACCTAGAGGGGTTCTAACACCTGCCCTCTGGTCTTGATCCTTATGCAGAGCTGTGGGCTGCAGGCTGCGGGCTTCTGGGCTGCCAGCCACATTCTTCCATGGTTCTGCTACTCTTCTGCTGCTCTGCCTCTGACATCTTTTTTTTTTTTTTTTTTTTTTGAGACAGAGTCTCGCTTTGTTGTCCAGGCTAGAGTGAGTGCCGTGGCGTCAGCCTAGCTCACAGCAACCTCAAACTCCTGGGCTCGAGTGATCCTTCTGCCTCAGCCTCCCAAGTAGCTGGGACTACAGGCATGCGCCACCATGCCCGGCTAATTTTTTATATATACATATCAGTTGGCCAATTAATTCTTTCTATTATAGTAGAGGACGGGGTCTCGCTCTTGCTCAGGCTGGTTTGAACTCCTGACCTTGAGCAATCCGCCCCGCCTCGGCCTCCCAAGAGCTAGGATTACAGGCGTGAGCCACCGCGCCTGGCCTGCCTCTGACATCTTATTCCTAGAGTGGCATATGGTGGTTGAGCAATGACAGGAAAGGGGAGTACTTGGTCCCTTAGTTGATGTGCCTTCTTGGAAGCCTGCCATTACTCAGTGAGCTCTGGGCAGGCAAAGGGCCCATCTTTTGTGACACTCCATGTACTGGCTTCCTTCATTTTTCTCTGTTCCCTTTTTGGTTTTCCTCAAAATGAAAATAGTTTTGTTTTGTTTTTATATTAATGTAGCTATGCCATATACTCACTGTTAAAAAATTCAAAGTATGGAAAGTGGCAAAGATTTCCAAGAATCAAGTAAAAATGTTACCTGAAATTACACCCCACCCCAGAGGCCTTGGTGACTATCTGTTGGTGACTGTTCACCTGGAAGGGTGTCTGAGTGATGCATGCCCTGCCCCTACCCTGCAGTCAAGCCCTGCACATGCAGCCAGTGTTTTGTGGATTGAATCATATAGCCCATGGTGTTTTATACCTGGTATTTCCCACTCTCTGATGTTACTGGGTATTGTTCTTCGTTAGTAAAAGGGGATCTACTTTATCCTAGTTAATGGTGGCTTAGGATTTCTGGGGCTGCTGGGAATGGGGCATACCTGGGCCCTTGTGTCTCCACTATGTGAAGCAGGCAGATGACAGGCACAGGTCAGACAGAGGCTTTGCTTTGTGTCTTCTCAGGTCTTGTCCTTTGTGCTTAGTCATGGCACCCTTAGGAGGGGTGCTGTAGTTTCAATGTGTCCTACAAAGTTCATGTGTTGGAAATCTGATCTCCACTGTGGTGGTGTTGGGAGGGGGGTGCCTAATGGGAGGTGTTTGGGTCATGGGAGCAGCCTCCACCTGAATGGATTTATGCTGTTATTGTAGGAGTGAGCCTATCATCATGGGAATAAGTTCCTGATAAAAGGATGAATTCGGCCCCCTTTTGTCTCTCACCATTTTTTTGCCCTTCTGCTGTGGCAGCAGTCCCCAACCTTTTTGGCACCAGGGACAAGTTTTTTGGAAGACAGTTTTTCCATGGGAGGAGGCAGAGCTCAGGCAGTAATGCAAGTGATGGGGAGTCACTTTAAATACAGGTGAAGCTTCCCTTGCTTGCCTGCTGCTACCTTCTGCTGTGCACCCCCACCCCACCATTCCTAAGTTTCATGGAAGACAATTTTTCCATGGATGGAGGTTGTGGGGTGTGGTGGAGCTCTGTGACCTGGTCCCTGACAGGCCACAGACTGGCCCCAGGGGTTAGGGACCACAATGCTATGGGATGACACAGCAAGAAAGCCTTTGCCAGCTGTTGGCCCCTTAATCTTGAACTTCCCAGCGTCCAGAACTGTGAGCCAATACATTTCTATTCATTATAGATTACTTAGTCTCAGGTATTCTGTTATAGCAGCACAAATGGACTAAGACAAAGGGTAAACACACAAACCATCCTCTGAGGATTTCATGGGTTAAGCAAGTGAAGTGCTCTGCACCAGCCTGAGCAGCAAGTGTTCACTGGTGGTGAACTCACTTTCTTCTTCCTCACCCCCATGGTGAGCACCTCTGAGAATAAGAGCCGCAGGTAGATTGTGGAGGCATGAGCAGGCACGTTCCCTCCTGTCCAGTGTGCCGAAGCCTGGGTGGCACCTCTCAACCTGCCTGTCTTGTCTCTCCTGGGGAGGCCAAAGTTGCCTTGCTCTATGGCCTTGGGGTTCCTTTTCCATCCCCAAATTTGCTGGTCTTTTCTGGCATTGAGTGGAAGGTGCCTCCCAGAGTTTCCCCATGTCTATGGTTCAGCCAAAGCTGTGCTGCTGGAAGCCCCTCTCATGGGCATTTGGGCCCTTTCCACTCCCTGTGCTGCTCTGGAGGAACTGAGGTGGCCTTCATGACAGTGGCTATGCTGTCTTCTTCTAGGAGAGAGCCTTTTTTATCTGGTTTTGCTTGGGGAATGCCATTGCACTGGCCACAATAAAAGTTCGACTGGGAGGAAGAAATGATTGTGGCCGTGGTCATAGTATCTTGCTCTGTGCATCTTTCTGGAATGGATTTCAGGCTGTGGGAGAACCTTCCTTTACCAGGAGATGTGCACACCCCCCACCACACCTGGATGTGCTCACTGGCCCTCACAGTGCTGCCTAGCACGTGCCTGGCATTCCCCTTCACATGGTCATGCAGGCTGGGTGTGGTGGCTCACACCTGTAATCCCAGCACTTTGGGAGGTTGAGGGAGGAGGATCACTTGAGCCCAGAAGTTCAAGACCTGCCTGAGCCACATAGCAAGAGCATGTGGCTTTGTATTTTTTCTACAAAAAATAGAAAAATTAGCTGGGTGTGGTGGCGCATGTCTATAGTCCTAGCTAACTGGGAGGCTGAGGCAGAAGAATTACTTGAGTCCAGGAGTTCAAGGCCGCAGTGAGCTATAATCTGGCCACTGCATTCTAGCCGGGGCAACAGAGCAAGACCCTGTTTCTAAAAACAATTTTTTTTAAATAATAAAAAACCAAGATGGTCATGCAAATTTTCCGTACCTGGGAAGCCAGAGCAGGCACATCTTCCCCCACAGCCCAAACATAATAAAAGTGACCTGCAGGTTAGGGGGATGTTTTGCTTTGCTCCACTGCCCAAGCACCTTTGGTAACCTGCTTCCCAGCCTCCTTCCTGTTACCTGGACCCCTGACTGCCCTGTCTGCTTGAGCCATTGGCTCCTCCGTGAGCCTCCCCACTTATCTTCAGTGGGGCAGTGTTAGGAGAAGCGTGGCCTGGGCCAGAAGGACCAAGTTATGGTCCTAGTGCTATGGCCTGGGGTGAGTCAGTGCATGTCTCTGACCTCTGGCTTCTTATGGGCGATGCGGGGATGATGAAGTAGCCCAGGCGGGCTGCCAGTGTGGACTGTCCTGTTCACTCATTTGTGCCCACCCATGATCCCATGGCCTGGCCTCTGACCTGTTGTGGTGCTCAGGACAGTAGTGGCATTTGCACTTGGCCACAGGCAGTCTCCTTGGCCACAGCTTAGGGGGACTATGGGCTGGATGGACTCTCAGCCCTTTATCCTGCTGCTGCTGCTGCTGCTTTCATTCAGGAACTTCTAGTTTTCTTCCCATGCATTTAGAATCTAGAGTGACCTTTGGTGTTTGTTCTTTTTTTGTTTTGCTAGGGACCAGCCACCACTGTTGCCTTTTCAAGAACAGGCGAGTATTTTGCTTCTGGAGGCTCTGATGAACAGGTAGGTAAAGAATGGTCTGAGGAATCTGAGCTGATTCTACTAAGAACTAAATGAGAGGCTGGAGGCTGTCTTGGTCATGGGCCAGATTTCACCAGTTTCCTTGGTGGCTTTCAGGAACTGAAGAGGCCCTAATGGAACATGGGGTGGAGACACTCAGATCCAGGGCCCTTGTGGTAGATTTCACAGCCCTCACTGCTCAGACTAGTGTGGGTTGCAAGGAGTTTGGGCTATGGTTGCCTTGAAAAAGTTGAAGTTTCTCAGTTCTTTTCCTGATTATAATTGAATAGATAATAGTTATTGTATACTTACTGTGGGCCTGATAATGTGGCCAATGTGACAAGAGTTTCATACCTGATTTAATTCTCATGCCAGCCTTATGGGGCAGGCCCTCTTATGTCCCCATTCAGATGAGGACACTGAGTCCCAGCGGATGACAGAACTGGGACAGGCACCAGGACCATCTGACTTCAGAGCCGTGCCCCTGCCCTGGGATCCTCTGCTCTGTCATCTGCCTCCCTTTGTTTCCCAGCCAACAAGTGCATTGCATGTGGAGTCAGGGGCACTGTCAATATTTTTGGCTGCAGAGAGAGGACATTATGAGGAGGTCCTGTCCCACCTTGTCACCCTTTGTGCTGAGACCTAAGCCTATCAGCCTTGGTGCCTCCTGTCCCAGACTGCTGAACACCAACGAACTGTCTCCTGGTGGACACCTTGCCCTGGGGTCTATCCCAGAGCCTGTCACTGAGGAGGAAGGCCAGGAGCACTGAGGAGTCTACCTGTCAGTTTTTCTCTATAGTGTCTACACAGTCAGTGCCACTTGTCCAGAGTACTGCACTCTCCTGAAGCAGGGAGGAAAAGGTGGCTGTTTTGAGCTGCTGTTGATGTGGTGGATTGCTGAGAATGTTCATCCTGTTGATGCCGGGCCTCACAGCTCAGGCTGTTCAGCCCAGACAGTCCTATTGGCCTACATGAGCCCCTGCCCCAGCCAAATGTGCTGATTTTGGTTGAGTCTCTGCCAGTAAGGCAGAAGGTAGTTGCCAACTCTTTGACCATAGGATTAGAGATGGCAGGTGTCTTCTCACACCAGCACCAGCCCCTGAACTGGCAGACAAGGAGGAGGAAGGCTTAGGGAACCCCTGAACCTTCCCTGAGCATGGAAGCCTGGCTTGTTGCTTAGAAGACAGGACAACTGGTACAGTAAATTCACACCATAAATACAGTCATGGCAAAATCAATTGCCTAGTGGAAAGTACGGCCTCCACCCACATCGGCCCCTCCTCAAGCAGCCACTACTGTCAGCTCCCAGGCTGCTTTCTGAAAGTCTGTTCTGAGATGTTTTTGGAGTGACATTTGGCATTACTCTTCACATCCATGATAGCCACTTCTAGGAATTTATTCACTAGTTAGATTTGCACAGTTACATGAAGACTCGTAAACAAGGGTGTGTGTGCCAATGTTGTTTGTAAGGTGATGGATGTGAGACCCTACCTAGGTGCCATCATCATGGGAGCAGTAAACAGGGAAGCTGCTCAGGGAGTAGCAAGGAGCTCCCCAAAGGACCGGCCTCACAGCTGCATCCTCATGGGGACGGTATCCAGGACACATCAAGTGTTCATCCTGTGTCAACATGATGGTGATTCTGTGGCCTCAGCTAACCGCTAGCCACACTGCAGAGTTCCTTCTGTGAAACCCAAGCCAGCTATCCTGAAAGTGCCCTAGAAGCACACACCACATGTGGCCAGCAGCCTCCAGCAGGCGGCGCTCTCACTCCCCACCTGGCACTTCCCTCAGCTTTCGTCCAGGAGCCTCAGGATTTGATCCTGTTTATGGGAAGATATTCATAGTAGGACATGATTTTTATAGCTTTGGGATAATGGTTGTGTTACCAAATGCTTCCTGGGTGCCAGTGTCTGTGACAATTTGTCTCCTGTGAGCCTCCCATCAGCCCTGTAAGATGGAAACTAGGATCATCCACTTTTCACAGGTGAGGGAACTGACAAATGGAGGTTGAGTCCCCTGCCTTGGGCCACACAGTAGGGAGTGGAGCCAGGATCTTAACCCCAGTGGTCTGGCCTGGAGTCCATATGTTAACCACTTCTCACAGTGTAACAGTCCAGGCCACTACCTTCAGGTGTTTTTTTTTTAGTGGGGAAAAAGATGATAAACAAGGAAAAGGGACACATAGATTAAATAACTACTGACTCTGGTGCTATGAAAGGAAACAGAGGTCTATGATAAAAATTAGTAGGAGGCCACAGAAGGCCTCTTTGAGAAGGTGGTGTTGAAGCAGACACTTGAGCCTGAGAAAGAGCCAGCCATGCAAAGCTTGAGCCTGGGATACCCCAGGCAGAAGGACCAGCAAGTGCCAAAGCTCTGTGGTGCCACACAGTGACGTTCCATCCTGGTGGCACATCCAGGTCCTCTTGAGACCTGTCAAAAGAACCTACCCCTCAAGGAGATGGGGCAGGTCCCAGAGTCAAGTTGGGGTGTCAGGTGGGGACCACTATACCTCCATGGCCCAGAACATGGGCCTGGCCTCTGGGCCCACTTTCTCAGTGAAGGAGGACTGACAAGCGGTTTTCTCCCCCTAATTCTGTATGCTTGTTGGTTTTGGCAGGTGATGGTTTGGAAGAGTAACTTTGATGTTGATTATGGAGAAGTCCTAAAAGTGCAGAGGCCCCCAGCCACACTGGCCGGCACCGCTGGGAATCTGGTAAGTAGCTTGGCAGGCATGTCCTGCACCCTGTGACTCTGGCAGGCTGGGTTATGGTGAATAGCACTGGACTCGGAGACGGTGGAGGGCTGGAGGCTTACAGGGACTCCAGTAAGGTCTCATCGTCTACCAAATAATACTTTGGTATTTGTGGTGCTTTGTTTCTAATCCAGAGGGAACAGATGAGACAGAGAGGATGTTTAAAGCAAGCTGGGTGCCCTCTCTCCCGGACCACTTGATGCGGAGTGTTTCCATGGCAAATGTTGCTGGTTTATTGAGGCCTTGAGCCACGAGGGACGTGTCCCATACTGAGTCCTGGGCCACGGGACCCAAGTGTGGGGGCTTCTAGAGGGTTCAGGGCCTGAGGCCACAGTTGAAATGAATGAGAAAGGCCCCAGTCCTGTTGCCCTCACTTCTCTTTCTTTTTTTTAAACCATGGAGAGGAAGTTCCTTAACCACAAACCATTTTTAGTGCCTTTGTTGGTAAAAGGGCATTCAGTGTTCCTGAATTAAAATAGTTAATATTTTTTGACAGGTATTTGGGGAAAGAATGTAGTAACTGATATAGTCACATTAAATAAGGTTGTATTCAGCTTTGGCTGAAATAAATGTTAAAGCCAAGGCTGTGGAACCCTGAGGGTTTTAACCTTCTGTGGCCAGGCTGTTTAAAATCTCCACCTTGGACCTTAGAGGCAGCATGTTCTCCCCTTCACACACATGGAAATTGGCCTAAACAACAGGAAGTGGCTCGCCCAAGGCCCCCAGCAAGTCAAGGATTGGTCCCAGAATAGAACCAGGAAGCTTCCTGAGTCTATCCTGGGGCTTTCTGTGGTTCCAGCAGATAGACGCTGCATCCCTACCCCCTCCCCATGGCCCCCGTTCTGTGTGCCGGGGCTGCCTCTAGGAATAGGCCAAATTGGGATTTATGGTCTTTCTTCCAAGGGTTGCCCTCCTGGCTGGACCCTTGGCTAGGAGCTTTTATTCCTCCTTTGCACTTGTGAATGCGTGGCTAGTTCTCAGCTTTTGGGTTTGTTCGGGAACAACTGGGTTACATGATTCTCTGCTTTCTGACAGTTTATCTTCTATCTAGAAAAGCATTTCAGACTGCAGGGTTCGGTGTCCGGGGGCCCAGACCAACCTCTGCATCCCTGCTCTCTTTCCTATGACTCCCATCTATTGGGCACTTGCTGGACCAGGCATAGCCAAGGCTTTTTACATGTGCTGCCCTGGTTATTCCTGTCTCATCAGAATGGGTGGGTAAAGCTGCTGCTCGATTCACACATGAGACTTCTGGGGCCTACTCACCTGCCTTAGATGCCTAGATCCAGGGGTACACTGTACTGGTCCCTCTGAGCAAGGCAAGAAACTACAGGTGGCAGAGGGCTGCATGGCCGCTTTTTCCATCCTAGGGGAGGCCATCTGCCTCTTGGGAATGGTTAGTATCTAGCTGGGGAGAATCCCATGTTCTTTTCCTTATAGTTACTACAAAAGTAACTTGGACTTACTGCTTCTTGTTCCTTTAGTCCTGGCTCAGAGATGGAGTATGGGGCACCTTTGCTTCCCAGAGCTGTGGGACCTAATTAGCTGGAGTGAAGACGTATGGGGTAGGCAAGGCAGCACAACAGGATGAAGCATGGGTGGGTGAGCAGCTCAGCAGGGCTCAGGGCATCCACTTGTTGCCAAACTATAATATCTTCAGGCCCATGTTAGAGTTGTCATCACAGCTCTGCCCACTGGACATCACCATGTGGGGCTCAAATAGGGGAAAGGATGTGGGTGCTAGGTCAGAGAAATGTGTCTGCACCCTGGTTGTGTGGACCCAGGCAGAGCATTCACTCTTCCCAATCCTCCAATGCCACAGTGGTACCTGAATACCCCCATAGGCAGGCCCTGACGTGAGCTCTGCTACCCCTTGAAGTGACTTGTTAATCCTAAAATCATTCTTGCTGGAGGTCAGGGCTCTTTCCTTGTTTGTCATAAGCCACTTTGAGATTCTGACTGGACATATGGGTCCTCTTCCAAACACACATTTTGACCAACACATGTGTACCACATTTTGTACACATTTAGGGCTTTTCTGATCTCAGGACTTCTAAGTCAAGAGGAGAGCTAGGTTTTTTGGTCGGTTGGTTTTGTTTTATTGTGGTAAAATATACATAACATAAAATTTGTAGTTACCATTTTTAAGTGCACAGTTCAATAACATGAAATATATTCACAATGTTATGTAACCATCACCATCCATCTCCAGAACTTTTTCTTCTTCCCAAACTGAGGACAGCTACTTTTTGTAACACTGTCCAGTGGTTTGGTTTTCTCCTGAAATAGGAAGAAAAGCTGAAGAGTGTTTTCTTGCCTTTCCTGCCCAAAGGTTTCCCTGAGCTAATATGTGGGGACTGATTCTGTGGCTGGCCTTGGTGTCTTAGCCCCAAAGGGAGCCCAAGAGCACTGCAGCCATGTCCCAGGAACTTGTGAGTCTGATGAGCCCCTATCTCTCCAGCTCTGTCCACATACCAGCCTTCCAATAACCCAGGTTTTGCAACCTTGGCACTAGCAATATTTTGGCCCAGATGATTCTTTGTTGTGGGGGGCTATCTTGTGCATTGTAGGATGTTTACCAGCATTCCTGGCCTTTACCCACTAGATGCCAATATCATCATGCTCCCTAACCCCGGTCATGACAACCCAAAATGTCTTCTGCTATTGCCAAATGTCTCCTGGGGGGCAAAATTGCCCCCAGTTGAGAATCAGTGTAGTAATTCTTGCCTTAGAAGTGAGCCCAGAAAAGCTGATCCAGCAGTGAGAGGAGTGTGGGAATGTATCTGGGTTTGGGGTTTAGCAGGGGGAAGAGCACAGGAATGAAGTGGGAGGGGTTCAGGGAAGGATGGGAAGAGTGCAGGGAGGGGGGTGAGGACTGGCCATTCTAGCAGCCGTCAGTATGAGGACTCTACCTGATTGGGCCAGATCTGTGTTCCCACCAGCAGCCAGGGCTGAAGGTTTCTCGGCCTGGGTTTCTAACAGAAGCCCATTTTGTAGGAATGTTGTTTGGCCTGAATCTTGTAGAGGTGATAGTAAACAACAAAAAAAGATTTTTTGCCTTTAGCAACTTGATTTTCTTCACTTAAAATTGGAGTGTGTTCTTGCCCTTCCTGCCTAAAGGCTTGCCTGGCTCTGAGATAATATCTGGTCAATGGTTTTGGTGGCTTGACTTCTCAAAGAGCCATGACCACCACAGCCATGCCCCAAGAGCTTGTGAATCTGATACCCTCTGCCCACTTCAGCTCTGTGCACACACTGGGCCTCAGGCCCTGAAGCTACATGAAACGCTTCTGGGCATTTGGAGATCTAGGAGGCCCATGACGCCAGGTGTGGGTATTGAATTCCTGACCATGTGCCCATACCAGTGCAACAGTCAAAAGCCAGAGGGGCAGACCCAGCATAGACTCCCTGCTCTTCTCACCCACCAGCAGACCGTGGCAGCAGCAGCCCTCTGAGCCTGTGACAGTCCCTCCACCCTGGAAAACCCCCTACCCAGGACCCCTTCTCTGACTGTGGCATTTCAGTTCTCAGATCTTGGAATTAAGGTTGTCCTTGAGCCCACTCTGAATAGAGCTCTGTTCATTGCAGAGCTATTTTCAACCTCTGGTTGAAATTCACAGCTTATTTTTAGGCACATTTCATGTTGAAAAGCAAAAGCCATTTCCCAGCCATTCAGAATGAGAATAATGGGTTCCATTTTCCCTCTATTCTTGGCTGAGTTGTGCATGAGGAGGGATTTCAGGGCTTGTGGTGCGAGAAAGTTGCAGTTGAAGGATTCCAGGCCATGCTCTGGGCTGAGGGTGGGCAGAAAGCTCCGTGTTCTGCCTCATGACATGCTGCAAGGGTGGAGGAAGCTTTGAAGAGCCATTGTGGACAAATGAGCACCTCCCAGAGGGGCTTGTGTAGGGGCAAGGGATAGGGGCCCCAGGGAGTTGTCTATAGCAGGTACTTGTGCTGGTGTTTTCAAGGGTCTAATGCTTAGTTAGCTCTGTTCTCTGCTGCAACCCAGGCCTTCTCATCCTCCCCATCCTTGTCTACCCTCCTGCTGTGTATGCTTTGGGGCCTGTCCCTAAGGTATAAGGACCCCTGTATCTTGGCTAACCTTGGGTTTAGCACCTGCTTGCAGATAGACTTCTGCCTCAACCACAGAAGCATTTTTTTTTTTTTTTTGACAGAGTCTCACTCTGTTGCCCAGGCTAGAGTGAGTGCCATGGTGTCAGCCTAGCTCACAGCAACCTCAAACTCCTGGGCTCAAGCAATCCTTCTGCCTCAGCCTCCCAAGTAGCTGGGACTATGGGCATGTGCCACCATGCCCAGCTAATTTTTTCTATATATTTTCAGTTGGCCAATTAATTTATTTCTATTTTTAGTAGAGACAGGGTCTCACCCTTGCTTAGGCTGGTTTCAAACTCCTAACCTTGAGTGATCCTCCTGCCTCCGCCTCCCAGAGTGCTGGGATTACAGGCATGAGCTACCAAGCCTGGCCAACAGAAGCATTTTTTAACGACTTTTAAATAGCAAAGATGCATTTGTTTGATTTACTCTCGTTTTTGCCCTCCCTCCAAACGTCTAAGGGCCCATTGTGCAATTGGGAAGAAAAGTTGTGCTGGGTGGGGTGGGAGGGGAAGAACACAGAGTTCTAGGTAATTCAGTGAAACTGGAAAAAAAAACCCAAACCACTTCCTGAGTTCTCTGGGTTGGCTGCTCTCCAGTTCAGACATTAACCTGAGTTCTGGAGCTGAGAGGCTTTTCTCCGCTCACCTTTCTAGATCTCATTTTAAGGAGAAAAGCTCACCTGTGGTTAGGAGCTTAGATTTTGGCTTTCAACCAGCCTGTGATTGAATCCTGTCTCCGCCTCGCCTGGGCTGTGATCCTGGGGAAGCGGCTGGACCTCTGTGAGGCCCAGTTCTCTCTTCTGTCAAATGGGAGATGCCAGGCCCTCTTCCGTGAGATTTCATGGG